CACACACACACACACACACGCTAAGAAGGCTGAGGCAGGAGGATCTGGAGTTGAGGACCAGACCAAGAGGCACACTCACCTCGAAAGCCTGATGAGTTGTTCAGTATGAGACCCTGTCTCAACCTACAACGTCGAGTAAATAGAATAGCACACACCTGTCGCCCAGCATTTGGGAAATGAGACAAGAGGATCTGTTCAAGGATATTCTCCTTTAGAAGGTTAGCCTGGACTACTACATAAGACCCTTTCTAAAAAAAAAAAAACAAAAACCATAATCTGGGCCTGGTGAACCTCTGAGTCCATCCTGGTCTACAGAGAGAGTTCCAGGGCAGCCAGGGCTACACAGAGAAACCTTACGTTGGAAAAAAACAAAAACAAAAAACAGGGTTGGCAAAACAGCCCAGCCGTTAGGAGTGTGTGCTGTTTTTACAGAGATGCCAAGCTTAATTCCCGACCCCCACGTCCAGTGGCCCACAGCCGCCTATACCGTCAGCTCCAGAAGTGAATGGCCTGTTCACGTCTACACACATACACATAGTTTAGAGTAATAAAAATAAATCTGTTTTGGTTTTGTTTGTTTGTTTCAAGACAGGGGTTTCTCTGTGTAGTCCTGGCTGTGCTGCAGCTAGCTCTGTAGACCAGGCTGGCCTCGAACTCAGAGATTAAAAGACTAAAGGCGCGTGCCACCACTACCGGCCAATTTTTTTTTTCTTAATGTAAAAAACCCTTAGCTCAACTCCAGAGGCAGGAGCAGGAGCAGGAAAAATCTCTGGGAGTTTGAGGCCAGACTGATCTACATAGTGAGTCGTCTGAGCCCTGCCAAGGCTACATAGTGAGACCCTGTCTCAAATAAATCCCTTAGATCAGGTCACCCATCCCCTGCCGCCACCGCCACACACACACACACACACACACACACACACACACACACACACACCCGGGAGGGGCTGCGGGCGTAGTAGTTCAGTGGTGGGGCACCCACATAACACATGAAGCCTGGGATTTTTCTCCCCATTATACTAAGCGCTAACTTCTTGGCACGCCGGTCCTGCGCTCCCCTCCCCCAGCCAGTCTCGTAGCTCAGCCTCACAAGCCACCCTTTATCCATGGCTGGAACCTGGCTTTAGTCTAGATAGGGCCTTGGGTACCTGGCGTCCTTATTCTGGGAGCAACCACTGGCGCCTGTCTGTAGTCTAGACACGCCCCCACCATGACCCAAAGCAACCAGATCAGAGCCCGCGGTTGGAGCCCCGGGGTGGGGCCGGCGCTGGGAAACCCGATCCCGAAGGCTGTGAGCAATAAATACAAAGCCGCACATTCCCCTCGAAGCCCAGTGGGCCTGGGCTGTGGAGACCCTGTCTCAAAACAAAACGGGCCGGGAGAATGTCGCTCAGCTAGTAGAGTGCTTGTCTAACATGCAACAGGCCCTGGATTCCATCCTAGCAGCTGCATAAACCTGGACACAGTTAAACCTGGACACAGTGGGTGGGTCACGTCTATAACCCCAATCCTGGAGAGGGCAGGAGGGTCAAGGTTGGGAGAGCAGTTTGAGCTACATGAGACCCTGTCTCAAAGCAAAAATCCAAAATTAAAAATAACACCCACCAAAAAAAAAAAAAAAAAAGAATTAAGGGTACCCCTCCAAAGCAGTCTTTTGTTGTTTGAGACAGGATCCTGGGTTACCCAGGCTGGTCTCAAACTCATTATGTTGCAGAGGATGGCCTTGAACTTTTGATCCACCTTGCTTCCAACTCCCGAGTGCTGGGATTACAGGTGTGTCTCCACACCTGACTTCATCTAAGAATTATCCTGTTTCCCCCCACCCCCGGTCCTGGTCTCATGTCTCGCCTCCACCCCACTTCCTGGGTCCTGAACTTAGGGAGCTGTGGCCCATCAGAGGTCAACCCCCACAGACACGCCCCTTGCGTCCTGCGCTCCCAGATCGCCCCGGAACACCTTCCTGGGTTCCTCCTCTGCGGAGGCTTCCAGATGCTGTTTATGCAAGCCCTGGAGAATCTGAGCGCGCGGCGCTTTGTGAAGCCATTTGAGTCAAAGCGCTCATTCTTTAATTAAACTTCATTTAACCGCCATCTGTCTCCGTTCAAAACGGCATCGTGTTTTGCAACTCGAAATGAGAATTGTTGTTGGTTTGGTAAACACGTCCCCCCCCCACCCCTCCCAAAAGGAAAAATCACAAAACACTTTCCAAAGTAATAAACGAGGGATGTGAATTGCTGCTGCGCTGCATTTCAAACGTTCTAATTGCCTGGGGATGTGTGCTGGTGGGTGTCTAATCATCCTATATACAAATTCTTTGTATAAAGAGCTAGTATCAATGAAAGGATCGAGATGATAGAAAATGCTAGAATTGGAGCTGACTGAAAACAGTAATAAAGCAATCATCCGCCAGAAACAAGGCCAGGGTGAGGCGGGAGGAAAGAAGCCGGGTGGCTTCGCCACACACCTGTTCTTCAAACCACACCTGCTTCTCTGGGGGGGCGGAGGGGTCTGCTCTCCCTGCCCAGGTGCACCCTGGGTACTAGGCAGATGAGGGTGGGCTTGTATTCTTGGGGGCAGGAGCTTCCCAACAGTTACAACTCCGTAAAATTCTCTCTGCGTCTCTGCGTCTCTGTGTTTCTGTCTCTGCCACCTCTCTGTGTTTTCGCTGTCGCTGTCTTATCTTTGTCTACACACACACACACACACACACACACTCATACATTCATTCCTTAACCCAGCGCTGTAGAAGGCCGTCCTACGAACATAACAGCAGACGTCTTTATCAGGGTAGCTTCGACGACTTCCAAGTCGTCTCCGAGATGGAATTTATTGTTCCGAGGACTGCTGGAATTCTCACTGATACAAAGAGGGGGTGCTGAGGATCCACGGCCCCTGGCTTGAT